ACAAAAAGGTAAAACTAATTGAAATATATCGAGTTATTGGTAGAAGATTCAAGATATAGTGTTCGTCATACCATACGTCGAAGTGGTCACATGCTATAGAATATAAATTTTCAATAATTAATTAAGAAAATCGTACTAATTATGCGAACTATTTGTCACACCAATAATTACACTCTTTCTATAACCAGAAAAATGAAAAAAGATTATTTCCTACGTCGACGATCAAGAAGATAATCACCACAAATTGTACACAATTTTTCATAATTTATTTTGGTTAAAGAATAAAGATCTATCCCTAGAAATATCATTTATTTTGTCCCGTGAACAAGGCCATTGCACCTGGCGCTGCCGTATGAAGGTTTTTCATGTGACAACCGAGGCCCGTATTTTATTAGGTAATCAGGTTTAATATAATAATCAAATAACCTCCAATAAAGGTGATGAAAAAAACTTGAAACTAGGTACCGCCCAACTTCGAAAGAAGAGACAGATATACCAATAGACTCAAATTTCAAGGATTTGTGGTCCAGGAATTTATTATATTTAGCTGTGAACCAGAGTTTAGTTAAACCGAAGCTGGACCAAAGTTATTAATTCATTTTTTTATGTTTTAATTCAAATGATGGATTCATCAGATGATGTATTTCCTAATCATTGTTGCATATCTAGATTATTATGAAAATGTTCATCGATACCTTCTTATCTGAAAAATGCAATAACATTAATCTACGGTACTGTCATATGGTAGTTTATCTCTTTTATAATTGGTACCGAAATATTTTGGTTGAACATCGGTTTCATTTGAGTTTCAAAGCTAAGTTTTAAAACCCGTGAATATATAAGAGTATTTCTTCATTTAATGTTAACTACTGAGCGGGATGTATTGTGGAGTGATATTTCATGTAAACTAGTATGGTTATTTTGTCAAACCAAGAAAGTTAAGAACGTAGTTTGATTATCTATTTGCATAAAAGATGATTTAGAATAATGGAGACATGTGGTTAGACTTAATGAGACGTGGTGGTAGTGATTAACTTTAGGTCCATGGAAGAGTTTTCTTTCAGCATGGTACACGACTTATATCCACATGTGCTCACATACATACACATCAGGTGTACATACTTATATATTATAATATACAACTTATGTGCTCATAATGGTAGTAGCTTAAATGGTAGTATCAACCGTGTTCTTTAATTCCCACGTTATGGTAACCACCTATTGCATTTGAAATCATTTTTAATTTTATGAGAAATGATTAATTTATTTAGTTACCACTCTGATCTGATCGGTAGATTGCGTAAGAGTTCTCATTTTGATCATACAGTGAAACCTCTATAAATTAAAAATATTAAAACTTTGAAATTTTATTAATTTAGTGAAATATTAATTTATAAATATTTTTTATTTTAAGTTATATTTATTATAAGATAAAAAATATATTTGATTTTAGTATATATAACCATTAATTATTATTTTTGAAATATGAAGTTTATATTCATTTTATTATATTTAAATATGGTTTTAGATATAATAATACTAAATCTTATCAAAAATATATTAAACTTTACAAAAATATAAAAATAATTTCATTGTAGATATAAAATAAACAATACAACGAAGGTTCTTATGTAAAATTTGTATACTTATAAATTATTAATTTATAATTTTAATAGGATTATATATTTACATAGAATTTTAGAAAATATTATTATCTTATTTTATTTATTTGTGTCAAATTTTGAACCGATCCAAATTAAAACCAGTATAATTTGTTAATTAATAACAATTTTTAATTTTTTAAAATATTAATTTATAGATTTTCTACTGAATTTTACTGTAACTTGTATGCTCCTTTATTATCCACATTTTGGCTTGGGTCGACAATTATCATAGTAGTCTACTAGTTGGAGAGTTTTTTTTTCTTTCTAAAACTATAGAATTAGGGTTCAAACACTCTTGTTATAAACTATTGTGATGACTGGTCATTGTGAATGCCTTAACAAAAGCATAATTTTCCATAAGCATCTAAAAATTGCGTTTCCTTGATCTTCGTAAGTAATTTACATTTGGAGTTGAAAAGTAAAAAAGTAAAGTCTTACTTTATGTACATAACATGGTTGAAATATTTTCTTACTACATAAATATATGACTATTACAACTTATCTAATTATTGAAATCAATACGAATACATATCATTGAGCTTAAGCAGGTAGAATAATTATTTGTGGTTTAGATTTGGTCGGACGAGCCGCCATTCATTCAATTTTCCCATGAAGAAAATATATATACAGATGTCTTTGAAGAAAACAATAAGTAAGTATACTATAAAAAGACGAGACACACTTAAAATTTCAGTTTCTGTTATCATTGACAATGAATTTTCTATGAAGATATTATTTCGGCGGTAGACATAATTACTAAGAAAGGAATATTCTTATACGTTGGTTTTAAAATCGCCCGAGAACGTAGGTAACATTAAGAAGAGTGGATGGACATGAACCTAAATTCAACTCAAAACTCTTTAAAATATATATATTTAGAGAATCGTTGAAGTTTAATTTGGAATGTCAAAGAAACTGTCGACGGCCAAACAGGATATAATGCATGAACATTCATGAAAAGCCACGTCCTTTAATGATCCCTTGGGCTGCTATAGGGACATTTGTGTTACTTCAATGATCCTCATTATCAGTTTTATATTAGGAAAAAAGTGAGCAGTTTAATGACTTTGATCAAACTAATGTGTCACATGCATATCCTTCGTATTATCGTATACTTACGTCCCGCGCATAACGCAATTTTTAAACATTTCACGTGACACTGCGTATGCTATATATATATATATATATATATATATATATACATATTTATAAGCTTGGTTGTAGTAACTTACCTCTAACTTACTAGAGTTACGGTAAGGAGTTTATCACCCATCAGCAGAGTAGAGACCGAAGCTAAAATGTAAAAAAATCTTTTTAATTTGATTTAAAAGATTGTCGGCTCTATATTTGAATTATTTTTCTTGTAGTGCAATTATTGTTAATTCTTAACCCCCACAACGTTGTAAGTTTGACTATTCAGTTACCCAGGTTTCGTATATGATTAACAAAACAACAGAAGCTTAAAGTCAACTAATATTTTATTCATCTTAATATACATTCGTTACAGTTGTTAGTAAATGAACCTGCCATATCTTCAGAACTTTTAAATATCTCATAAACAATCCTTACGACTTTAAAAGTCAACTAATATTTATTGTATTAACCGATTGGCGAATATTGGTCCACTTTAGCAATGAAGATTTGATTATCCATATAGGAAGAAAAAAACAAAATGTAAACTTGAAATGTACCACGACCACGAGGGAGATGGTGTTAATTCATGCATACCATATTGCAAGAAGGAAAGAAAAATATACAAACTCTTTTTGTTATGGTCCCTCTGATTAGGAAACCCAATATGGTCCTGGAAAGATCCAAGTGGACTCCTTTCTAAATAACTTCATCAATTTTTTTGTATCAAATAATAACTCCACTTGTTTTATTGGGAGAGATTTGTTCGTGTTACTAAATGGGAGAATTTCATAACACGTAACGCATATATTGTCAGGGATACAAATTCTACTATACACATAAGAAACGTATATATAGGCTTGTTTATTTCTATGTGATAAAATTACTAGTTTACATGTGATAAATGTATATTTGCATAGATATATATTTATTTCATCGATCAGCAAAAAAATAACTTTTTACCAAATAAAATTTGTTAATGATACCTACGGTTATAAAATTATGAGAAGCTGAAAATGTATAATATAATATGAGAAAGCTTGAATAGACCCAAATCATGCCAATACATTGTTCTATTTGTCCACGGAACTGCTGAGTCTTTCTTTTGCGGTGGTGATGGGTTCGTTGAAGATAATGGAGATCCTCTACTCTTGGAACTACTTTTATTGAAAAGTAGAATCAAATATTTTATCAGTCGTTCTTAATTGTAAACGACGCATGTAAGACTTTTCTTAACTCCTATGAATTACTAATTGCATGTGGTATCTGACTATTAATTAATGTTACTATATATAAATGTAAATGTAGTAGAAAAAATAGAACTTGACAAAGACATTTTTTTTGGTGGTACAGAGCAAAATGAGTTCAGAAATTATGGAATATTGGAGCATCGTAGTATTGATCATCGTCTTGGTTGGTTTGGTATTGTGGCAACTTAGCATTATACTACGAAAGAATGATAATTGTTGTGGTAATGGTCAGGTGCATCCTAATAATTTAACATCTTAAGCAATTACCCTGAAGATACAAAACTACTTGCTTTCCTTACTATTTTTTCGTATGTCGGTTTCAGAAAATTAAGCAATAATTTTGAAGACGCTGTTGGTTAAATTTTCGTTCTAAATTTTTTGCTAACCGGGTAAAATATTAGATTATTTGATTATAACCGGTTATTACCAAAAAAAAAAGTAGTTCCAGACTTCCAGTGGTATATTAATTTTCATTATTGTTCTTTATTGAAATAACTTTTTTTTTTTTACAGTGGTTAATTATACATTACAAATTATGAGAAATATTACATAAACGATATTATAGCCGACAATTATTGAAATAACTATTTATTCTTCTTCTTATTGAGAAAATGATTTCAATATAAGCAGAGTTTTCTAATTAACTCTATGAATAGAATTATATATGGGGAATTTATTAAACGAGCATTAAGCTTGTATTGATTATGAAACTATGATATAACTCTTCAGCAAATTCCAGATTCGATTACTTACTCAACATACCAAGCTTGAAGAAACTAGAAGCTTAAGTGACAAAGATTAGAACGTCCAAAAAGAGGACCTTTTCTTTCTTGAAATAAACTTTTACTAATTGTTATACGATTTCTAAAAATGTTGGAATAATAGGATAGTTCCTTAGGAATTTTAAAAAACTATATCATGAGAATTTGATTAATACTCTGCACATAAATGTTGATTAGGTTCTTAGTCTTCTCTCCATCCCCAAAGCATGATATCCAGAGAGGAGAATGTTAGGGATGGTAGCATCAAACGGTAGACCACCAAGCTCCCACTCTCTATATATCACTTCAGCACCTTCCATGTCTCCTATACTCGAGAGCGCACTTATCACAGCTCTATACCCTTCATTACTCGACCCCGCGTTCTTGTGAAGCTCCCAAATCCTATACACATCTTCTCTCTCTCCCACATCTCCATAAACTCTCATCAGCTCCTCGTAAACCTCTTTTCTTGACGCGCAATCAACCAACAGCTCTGTTCTATGCAGCATAGCCAAGGCCTTTTCAGTTGACCCTGACTTCAAGTAAGCCTTTGCCATGTCAATGCACGTTCCCCACTCTAGTTTAAACCTTTGGTTGCTGCTCAGAAACTTCTCCATGGCCTTGATGTCTGAGACAGCTGCGTATACCAAGAGGGCGTGGTTCGCTGTGAGATCATCTGGCTCGACGTTGTTCTCTTCCATCTCGCTAAGGAGGTCATTGACGTCATCATGGCGTTTGAGTGGACTGTAGAGAGATAGCATTAGGTTGTATGGGGTAGGTTTCAAGAGAAACCCTAGCTCTCTCATCTGGTCGAAAACAGCTTCTGCTTTATCAAGAGTGGTGTCGTCTCTTGTGTACAAGGTTAAGAGAGTGTTGTAGACTGTGTAGTCCTTCATGGTCTCAGGGATGGTTTCAAAGAACTTCTCTGCTTCTTTCAGACCTAAAACAGTATCTACCAACAAAACCCTAGATGCCATATCTTCTGGAAACAGAGTGTAGACACGATGTGAACTCATCCATTCAGATATCTACAAGAATCAAGCAAAAGAAAGATAATATAAGATAAAAGGTTTTGATGAATTAAAACGAAGAAAGAGTTGTGTGTTATAAACCTGGAGGGCGTGGGAGAAACGTTCGGAATCTTGGAGGATCTTGATGATGCATCTTAGGTCAGAAGGCTTGACTTGATTACCTTGTTCTTTCCATTGCTCAAGGGCGTGAACGACTGGTGTCTTCTGATCTAAAGCCGTAGCGATACGGAGAAGTAAAGCGTTGTTGTTACGGTGAGGAGAAACTAGGGTTCCGGCGTGAATGGAAGTAGGAGCAATGTTGGAAGTCTGGATCCGTTTTGCTTGTTGGCCAAGAAGTTTCATCGTATTCCTCATCATATTTGGAGATGAGAGATTTGTTGATGATGTATCTTTAACCGATGTAACGTATTATATAGAACGATGAAGAAGTATACTTGTGTAGCACGCTCTGCTTGTTACTTTAGGTTTTTGCTTCCACGGCAAGTTGTGGACTCAAAATAGTTAAATTGTTAATTAATAGTTATCCAACAGATTGAGTGAATTATATCATAAAAACAATGGTAAATAAGTGGATGTAATTAATAAAAATCCAATATAGCGAAAACTATAAAATCTTTTACCCACTTATAGGTTCCTTTTGTACAAAGCCAAAACATGAGTTTGTTATATCCTTTTTCTAACAGCTGGTGCATTTCACCAGATTTAAAACACAAAAATTAAAATTTAAGTTGTATCAAAACGAAGAAAAACTGCACAAAACATAAAGAATTCTTCTCTTTTTTTTTCATCCCAGCTAACGCATAGACCTTGAGGAACATGTGGGATGGAATCAGAGAAAAAAAATAACAAAGAAACGAAATGAAGAATTGTTCAATCTATTAATGTCTCACCAATAACAGTGAAAAAAGAAAATAAGAATCTTGAAATGTTCTTCCTTCTGCTTTTACTGGTGTGTTCTTGAAAGGATAGAGTTAGAACACATGCAGCTTCTTTTGGTACGTTACCATTATAGCAAGAAACTGAAAGCTGGGTTTTCTTCAAGCTCTTCAGCTGGTTTCATCTCTGCAAAGTCCTTATCTTGCATTGAACTCGATAGATCCTCTGTCGTGAATGGAATGCTAAGCAAGAAACAAAAAAAATTCGTTTAATAACCAAAGCTAAACAAAGCTTCTGTATAGCCAGAGATGGTGAGTTTTGGTGTAGGATTATTGTGTTACCTAGAATCTTCGTCTAACAAGAAGGCGCTGCTGTCAGCATCGTTGGAATCCTCTATCATAAGCACTCTCATGCTTGAAATCACCTGTTCATGAGCATAATCAGATAAGAACATAAGAACAGTTAGAACAGTAAGAACAGTTGCATAAAAGCTTACATCTTGGGATACACTTCTTGTGTTGTAGCTGTCATCCCAATACAGAGTACATATTCTGTAAAGCTGCTGGACGCTAAGAATCTGCAAAATTTACATTCAAGTTCAGAAGCAAATTCTTATGCATATGTATAATATTCGTCTAAATTTAAGTACAAGGGTCAGGCCGATAGAGAAACTCACAGGACATAAATCAAGTGCGATGTCATCGTACGAGATTCTGTACTTCTTATGGATTACCTGTTAGTAAATGCCAATTCAAGAGACAATCATGAGAACAACCTCCCAAATCTAGCAAATATATGGAAAATAGAATATATATACGATTTTTCTTATAGTCAGACAAGTGTAAAAGAACATACCAAAAATCCAACAGCTTGCCTGATATGTTTAAGTTCATCCCAGGATGAGCCAGCATACTGCAATTCAAAACGTATAATGAGCCAAACTACGCTATAAGCAATCTGTAATTATAAAAAAAAGTAGAAAGAGGGATTTGCTAGAGAATACTTCTTCTTTTGTTTCGGCGCACCATTCCTCTAACAATGCTAAACCAGATTTTACATACTCTCCGTTGCTAAATGTACAACATTCTCGTCGCAAAAGAAGGCTGCAGAAAATAATGAAACCCCGTTATAACAATACATGGACATGCCTAGTTGATAATAGACAGTAAACCGATCTCTCACCTGTTAAATAGTTGAACATTGATGAATGAGAATGTCTGAGTAAATATCTTTTGGATAAGAACCGGAGGAACCTAAAAGAAAAAAATGTATATATAAGAAATTTTCACACACTAAGGAGAAAGAAAGCGTGACTAGAAAAGACGAGGTTTTTGGATTTTTCCCATACAAAGTTCTCCTTCAGTGTGTTTAGAAGTGCGTATAAGCCGTCAATAATTCCCTTCCAGTGCTCTAAAGGAGAATCCTTTCCCAATGACTTTGCAGATCGTAGCGAACGTCCCGTTGATGTTCGTGGTGCCTAAAGAGGTCCGTTCATCCGTTCATATCAGACCACATACATAAGAAGACTAATAGTATCAAATGTAAAAAGGTTAACAATGTTTTTTTCTTAGCCTACCTGGATGCAAAGGGAAAGCAAAGCTTGCAATTCGTTTTTAAGGTTATCTCGAATCATTCCAAATATCTTTTCTACGTAAGCCGTAAGCTGCTGTTTGAAAAGCAAAGCTGGATCTTTGGCCTCAACCGGGCGAATCACTGCAGCCGCTGCGGCAGCTGCTGCTGCAGAAGTCTCGGCAGAGGAAGGCGCTGAACGGAAACCCTGGCATATTAGAAGATAATGCTTCAGAATACTTGAATGATTTTGAAACACAACTTCATTAATATACAAAAAATAAACAAAAGGCATATGTACCATGGCCATTCTTCCAAACAAGGAAGTCGAAACAGGTGGTTTTCGCTGTTGAGTGGCACCACCGGGTTTCAGACTTTGTTGGATCATAAACAACAAGGTTGAAGTATTGGACAACCAATATGCCAAATGCTCATTGTCGTCATCATCCTGATAGTAAAAATCGCAGAAAATCAAGCATGATTAACAATAATCTACGTTTCAGAAAAATCAACACCATATTACACTGTTTCAGATAATTGACGACAAAAAGGGGATCAACAATGTAGTAACTATAAAGACTTGGCATGCATTTCAGTACCTTGATGGCAGAACCAATCATTTGAACAAGACGATCAAACACGTTGGTTCTTTCAGCTTCGAAGGATTTCCAATGAAGGAGACATTTGTATATAGTAAATGCAGCTACAGGCTTCCCCTGGTTGAATCCAATATTCTTCGTTACGCAGTTGATAAGAGCACCAACATTCTCCTATTACAAGATAAAAAAATCTCTCTCTTCAATCAAAGAAAGCACATCCGACAGATCAGAAACACAGAATATAGCAACTAGACTGAACAGCATACATGTTGACGTTCCTTTTGCAAACTCCGAGCCTTTGCATCAGATTCTTGGGTTCTTGCTGGTGTTTCAATCTCAGCCCCCTGCAAAAATGTCGTTAAAGACATACAAAGAGATTGAACATAATTCAGGGGAAAAGGGAGAGAAAATTAAGAAGCGACTTACATTGATCAGACTTTCTTTGCTTTGAAAGTGACCACTTTGTGAATTCTGCAAGTAGGAGAGCAGTACTTTAATTATCATGATTCCGGAGAAATCAAGGTAAATTTTGTTTAGATATACCTTAACTGGAGTCGGAGGGAGTTGTCCTGATGTGTGTAAGAGGGATTTTTGCCTCAATATTTGGTTTTCAGATTCCACATCCAATATTTTTTCTTGAAGTCTGCAGATGAACATGTGAAAAAAGTATGCTTAATATTGAGTGCCAATGGAATTTTGGTGAATTCATTAAAAGAATCAGAGATGAATAGTGAGTACTCGTGCACAGCTTTTTTCAAATTGACAATTGTCGTTTCAGCCTCTAGAGCCTGCTTGAGCCTCTCCTCACTTAGTTTTCTCGACTTCTCGAATTTTTCCTCTGTTTCGCCAATCTTCTGCTCGAATGAACTTACCAGTGCCTGAAATTAAATGGAAAGTAAGAAATATGAAACCTTTCTTCCACGTGGCTTTGACATCCTTAAGAAATAAAATAAAATAAAACAGATAAATTTCTTACCGTGAGCCTTTGGTTTTCACTAGTTAGCTTCTCCACCAGCTCCGTGTCAACTACAGGAACCTCCTGTAACACAGGAACAATTTCTGCCGTCTTTTTAGCAGCTTCCATTTCCTTTATGAGCAAGGCTTTGGTTTCCTTGAATTGAAGTTGCATTTCATCCAATGAAGATCGCAGTTTTGCATTTTCTTGTGTTTTACTTTCTTCCAAGTCCGTCTAAATAATTAATGCCACAAAACTGATATGTTAAACATCTGAATCCATAAATGCCATAGAGAAGCTTTTGGATTTGAAATATTTGAAGGATAAAAGGCAAACTAAAGAGATTAAAAGTTCTCTATTAACTTACCCTCATGCGTTTCTCTAGCTGTAGTCTCCATGTGAGCTCTTCCACTTGTTTCTCAAGCTTATTCTTGGCAGCTTGGAGAGCTCCTGTTTCCTTTGCAGCCTGCACGAAATACCAAGGCATAATTAAAATCATGTATTGGAAAAATCCAACATCTTCTGCCCATGTTACGAAGATACTCTAACGCAAAGGATAACTTCGAGCTGCTAGCAATCGCGTCAAGAGAGCCAGCTCAATTTTAAAACCCCAGTTACGCCATTAGTGGTGCATAAAAGAGTGTACACAGAAATGAAGAGAAATCTCACCGTCTTAAGCCTCCGCAGTTCTTTACGGGCTAACCTTGCTCTCCATGCACTTTGTGTTGTAACTGTTGCTTTCTTTAGCCTCTGGTAGTGCAACTGGGACAAGAATTTGCGGCAATGGCTCTGTTATATACAAAGAGGACAAATTAAAAGTCATGATAAGGAAGAAAAGCTCAAGACGTTTAGTAGATGAAGCCAACAAGAAAAACATGTCGTCTATTCAACAGGAAACTGTACAGAACCTGAATAATAATTGCCGCCTTGTTCTGCCTTTGGAACCGTAGCTCGTCACGGGAAACCATACCACGTATTGCTGACTGAATGGAAACAGCAGAAATATATAATTCCTTGTAATATTTTCTGGCAAGGTGCATTCGTATGTCTCTCTGAATCTCCAAAACAGCAGCTTCTCTGCGCAGTCCATCAAAGATATGTCGAGAAAGTTGACCTATATATAATGGAATACAAATCAGAAAATGAAAATTAGTAACATTTCAAATTGCCTGAGTAGTAAAATCGGACGTTATTCTTTAAAGTACCTCTGCACACAGCCTGCATATTTACTGCAGCCTTGCGGAGCATCATCAAATTCTTGCGGAACAAGTACGAGCGGAATTTCCTCTGGATGCTGGTGGCTGCTCTGCCTAAGACTTCATTTCTCCGAGCATCTAAGTCAG